CTTTCCTTTTTCTTTGACCTTTTAGTTATTTTGGTAGTATATTCTTTAATATTTACTTAAGTAGGAATTTACTAAAAATCCTGTTAGTGTTCTAATTTTGTTACATTGTTGTTGTAAGCAACAGCATACATACATATGATTTCTAAACTTAAGTTAAGTGAGGGGTATTTCTTGCCCAACTTATGTTCTATCCTGGAGAAGATTCTTTTGTGGATTTGTGAAAAATATATATGATTTATATTTGTTGTCCAGAGCGTTGGGACTATCTTACTTAAACTTCAAAGTAATCCTGTGCTAGGGCAGTCTTATTCTTACTTCCATTTTATGGAAGAGTAAACTAAATTGTGAAATTGATCAACTTGTTTCTAGTTATAGAGGAAGGAATTTATGACTTTCAGACTTTAAACTTAGATTCTTAACCTGTCATTAGGAAAGACATCAATGTGGGGTAAGAAAGGTAATGAATTGGAAAGAAGACAAAGGTATCCATGGAACCCAATGGAGGCTTCTTCATGTATGAAATGAGGGTAAGAGAAAGTGGTAGAGAGCGATGAAAAATGTTTGAATAGGGAAAACAGTGAGAATGTAGTTGGGAAACTAGGGGAAAGGTGAAGTACTGCATTTGGAAAAGACATGGGTTCAGGTCCTGGCTCTGTTTCTTTCTAGTGATGTGTCCTCCAGAAAGTGATGTTAATTTCTGAGCCTCACAGTTTTCATTTATAAAATAGGAGGAATAATGTTAGAAAAAAGCTGATGAAGATGTGTCAGTGTTTGAAATTGAATGTGATCAAAGGAGGAGATAGATTCCTTTTTTATTTGGCATTAATTTTTTGAATGATACAGGATCTCAAATTCAGTGAATTTGAAGAGGTCTGGAATCTTGGTAAAGGAAAAGATCTAAACTTTCAACTCATTTCCCAAAACTGATATAATAGATCTGTTCTGGTTCCCAAAGCCTCTCTCTCCTGACACTCTTCTGTAGTGGAAGAGCAGCCCATCCTTTTTTTGGGTTCATAACCTTGATCACTGAACTTAGAGATTCTGGTCCCCTGCACCTTGCTCTTTCTGCCCTCCTCTACAATCTGTCTGAGGGCTCCCCGCTTGAGCAAAGTCAGAATCACCTTTCCACAGGTGGCTGCCCCTTGGGCTGTCTCTCTCCCATCCCTGGACTGTTAGTGTCTTGAATGCTCCATGCCCTTCCTTTTCTCTGTGGCCGAGGAGTTTCTGGTTTCTAATAGAAGTGTTTCATTGATTCCTACCCCTCTCAGTTGCTGTTTAAGTGTTTCCAGTGTTTGCTCCTCCAAGCATTACTACCCTGTAGTTGTTTCTTGGTGATTTGAGTAAATGTCTCTGTAGGGTAGAACTAGAGTGGAACTGCTGAGTCATAGAATAGATGTGGCTTAGTAGTGGATGCTGTCATGTTACCTTCCAGAGGGGACTGTTCTTTGCTCTATCCTTCATTCCTGGTCTTCATGAAAGCCTTCTTGATAGCTCAGTATACAGGAATCACAGTCCTGTATCTGTGCCTCAACTGGACAGTCTACCTGCTGGGTCTTTTTGTTTTATTGTTAGATTGCAAAATCTTTTTAAGTGAGTGGTATTATTTTTTTTAATAGATTATATTTGTATTAGCTACAAGATTTGGAAAGTTACAAAGTCTTTATCCAATTTTGCCCTTCCTGCATTTGCTTCCTAGTAATGCTGACTACTTAGGTAGCCTTCCAGAGATATTTGAGGCATGTATAAGAAACTAAGTGTAAATATTCCTTTAGTGCCTTTGTGTTTATACTAATGGTTTTTTATAGCACATTGTTTACAATTTGCCTTTTTTATGTAACAGTATGTCAGACTTCAGAATGTAAAGATCCTCATCCTTTTATGTAGAAATTTATTTATTTTAAAAGATTTATTTATTTATTTATGCATACAAGAACTGGGGTACAGGCCAGAGAGGTGGGGGGTGGGGTGAAGACCCACTAGAGACAGAGTGGGGAGACCAGGCAGAGCCACTGAAATACACTGCTAAGGGGAGCAGGGGGCAGGTTAGGAGAGGTCTTTCATACCATGTGGGTCACCCCTTCCTGGCTAGGGATGGAATTCTTGCTGCAGTGGCTGCCGATAGCTTCAGAGTGCTGCACTTTAACCTGTATTGTCACCAGGGAGGGCCCTATATAGAAATTTATTGACTCTACCCCTTTGTAATAGACAGTTAAGCTGTTCATTAATGTTTTGCTCTAAGATTAATGCTATAGTGAATAACCTGTATAAGTCTTCATGTCCTTTTATAATACATATGATTCTATTTATAGGTCAAATTCTAAGAAGTAAAATTCCTGTGCCAGTGTGTACTAATATAATTTTTAAAAATAAAGGTGAGGCCCTCCCTGGTGGCGCAGCGGGTTAAAGCACAGCACTGAGAAGCTAAAGCCACTTCCACATGAGTTCAATTCCCGCCTGCCCCGGAGGTGACCACATGGCGCGGCAGACCTCTCCTGGCCCGCCCACTGCTCCCCTCAGCAGTGTACTTCATCGGTCTGCCTGTTCTGCTTCCCACTCTGTCTCTGGTGAAGCCTCTCACCACCCCTGAGTCTCTGGCCTGTACCCCAGTTCTGTATGCATAAATAAATAAATCTTTAAAAAAAAAAAAAGGTGAAATTCACATAAAAATTAACCATTTTAAAAATGAATAAGTGGCATTTAGTATTTTAATAACTTTGTGCAACTATCACTTAAGACTACTTCCAAAACATTTCCATTATTCTAAAATAAAACCCATAAAGCAGTTACTTTGCTTCCTTCTTCTCTTTTGGCAACTCAATCTACATTTTATTACTCAATCATTCTGGATATTTCATAGAAAAACAATCATATAGGGAGGGCCCTTTGTGTCTAACTTCTTATGCTTATAAGTTTTCAGAGATCATCTGTATTGTACATATATGTGTATTTTATTCTTTTTTATAGCTGAATATTATTCCATTATATACAAATAACACACTTTATCAATTCATTCACTGAGGAACAGTTGGCATATTTCCCACCATTTGGCGCTAATGAATAGTGTATGAACATTCATGTTTAGGATTTGTTTTGGGTACCTGCTTTTAGTTCTTTTGGGTATATATGTAGGAGTGAAATTGCTGAGTCATAAGACAATTCTCTATGTTTAACTTTTTGAAAAACCTCAAACTGTTTTTCACAGTGGCTGCACCATTTTACATTCCCACCAACAAGGTACCAACTTTTGGGGAATATTTATTATTTTCTTTGTTATAGCCATCTTCATGGGTGCATATTAGTTGTATGTAATTTATACTCCCTAGGTGATGTATAAATGACAGCTGTCTGAGCAATATATGAGAGTACCAACTTTTTTCTGCTTCTTGCTAACACTGTATTGTGAAATTTTTTATTTTTGTCAGTTTATGTTTTGAAACTTTGAATCTATGAATTTTTAAACTTCTTGTATTGCATTAGCTTAACCATCTTATATTTTTTGAGCCATTTGTTGTTCTCTTTTCTAAATTTATCCCTCATATCATTTACTGATTTTCTGCTGGATTGTCTTCTTACTGACTTGTGGGAACTTTGCATGTAGTAAGGAAATTAGTCCTTTGTGGAGAGTTGGCATTTTCCTCATCTGTCCTATCCATGAACACTTAGCTTGCCTACCATATGCATTGTTTTAGGTACTAGAATTGTACTCTCAAACAAGAGATGCAAGACTGCCCTCCTAGAGTTATACTCTAACACAGGAATGCAGGGAGACAATATTCAAATAAGATAATGTCCAGATTTAGTCCGTATTCTGAAGGCAACTAAACAATATCATTATAATAATGGGAGGGGAGTTGGCAGTCTCTTTACATAGAGAGTTAAGTGAAGATGATAGTTGGAATTACAGACATAAAAGCAAGGTAGCCATTCAAATAGGAAACAAAGGTCTCAACAAATTGCAGGTAAGGGGAAGGTATAAGATGAGGTTGGAAGGTTGTTTAAATTGAGGATTTTTAATAACTACTTGTTATTTCATGGTTATGTATAAACCATCAATTATTATAATTCATTGTTGGAAATTTTTTATGGTTCCCGCTCCCTCTTTTTTAGTCTTATAAAATCTTGATCAACAATTCTATAATTTTGATTGCCTTCTTATGCTTTCTTCCTACACAGAGATTTTATGAGTAATTTTTAAAGGTGTTCAAATACTTGAGATCCTATAGCCCTCTGAGTGTGTACTTTTGTGTTACAGAGTGTTTTAATGACAACTACTGGTTTGGGAGAGACAGAAGCTGTGAATACTGCTTTGATGAGCCACTGCTGAAAAGAACCGATAAATACCGAACATATAGCAAAAGGCATTTTCGGATTTTCAGGGTAGGTGACCAATATCCCTATATCTTGGAGAGCTGTTCATCTAGTAATCACTTTTGGACATCTTCCCACTATTACTCTGCATGAACACTTTAATAGGCATAAGATTTATGCCTTTAATCAGAGTATGCATAACATTTAAAAAAATTCTCTATATGTCTATTTTAGGAAATGGGTCCTAAAAACTCTCACATTGCATACATAGAGGACCACAGTGGGAATGGAACCTTTGTAAATAGAGTCCTTGTTGGGAAAGGAAGACGCCTTCCTTTGAGTAACAATTCCGAAATTGCACTTTCAATATGGAATAATAAAGGTAATATCATCTCATGGTTGCTGGATTTTTCTGCCCTTCTATATAAAAAGAAAATGGACATTGTGCCCTTGCAGAATGTGGTTTAAGTGAAGTGAGGGAAGTGAGGGATTAGCATTTAAAATTTAACTTGGTCCTGCTTTCATTTTTAAATTACAAAAAAGTTTTATCACGAGATTTTCTAAGGCTTAACTGAGATTAATTCAAAGTGGTTTATACTTTAAAATACCAAATATGCAGAGGTATAAATGTCAGGAAAAATATTGTCAAGATGATGACCTATAATCTAATTTTTACTGGAATGTTTATTTACTTGCCTAGAACATTTCTTCTTGGTGCAAATGAATTGCTTTTTGATTCTAGATATATGTTAATCTGCTCAGGTATTTTATATTAGTGCAATTGAATATTCTGAGGTCAAGGAATTAAATTTAGCATTTATGTATGGTTTTTCACACAAATGAGAATGATGCAGTGTATTTCTATTGAATAAAATTTGATTATCATCATTTTCCAAGTGTTTTCATCATCTGTTCATTTAGCTAAATAATTCTTTTAGGGTTAGAAGTAAAACTTAATTGTCTTATGTTCCATATATTTGTTAAATTTTAGGTCTTTTTCAAATGAATTAATCAGAACTATTTCTGCCCTTTTCTCTTAGTTTTTGTATTTTTTGATCTGACTGTAGATGATCAGTCAGTTTATCCTAAGGAATTAAGAGATCAGTACATCATATCAAAAACTCTTGGAAGGTAATTTTTTTTTTCTTATAGAAAGTCCATTTAAGTTTTTCCTAAACATTTGTCATTGGTTAACTCTGTTCATGGTTTTATGACTTAACTATTCTCAATATATTGGTAAGATATCTACTCTTGATAGTAACATTATTAATTTATTTGATAATGATCAATTGGCATTAGTAGTTTTTCCTTATAAGTTTTGTCTGTGGTAGCTTTTTAAAAGCAGCTTTACTAAGATACATTCACATAACATACAATTCATCCACTTAAAGTACAATTCAGTGGTTTTTAGTAAAGTCAGAGTTGTGAAACTGAAACAGGGGTGGTCAGGTCAGGGCAACAGGAGGATACCAGAATAGGCTAGAAATCTACCCGTCTGCCTTGGCTGTTAAGCTCCCT